ATATTTTTGGGTTTTTGGAACGGATTAATTGTATTTCCATTATTTCTTATGGGAAATATTGCTTCGCTTTTCAAAGTTTTCGAATTTAGAACTAGCTCCTGTAACGAATTAAGTTTGAAATTTGAGGTTCCACTGTATATATACATGTATATACACCTAACATGTGACTTGCGACCACTCGCCTTACGACCGTGTTTTTTATGCCAAATTTCTGGGAAATAAACAACTATTTGTGTTGTACACAGTGTTTATCCTAAACCTTACAGTATAAATTACAGTACTAACAGCATAAAAAGTAAAGTAAAATCATGAAATACCAAAATAAAACAAAATAAAGTCATTACAAAAATGTTATGTTAATATTCAGTAGTAAAGTTCGACTTACGACCATTTCAACTTACGACCGGTTTCTCGGAACCGAACTCGGTCGTAAGTCGGATGGTAGGTGTATATACAGCAGGGCCCCACTTTACAGCGTTCCGCTAATACAGTTATTTCAAATTATGAAAAAAACTTTCTATATAGCAAGCGGTCTTTCAAATGCAGCGCACCCCACTCGGTTTGTTTACATTCTCCATGAGCACATCTCTATTATGTCTGGAAACTTTCCATAATTTCAAAGTGTTTTAAAATTATTGCATATTTTATATGTACAGTAGATCGTTATATTACACATTAGTTACGTTCTTGAAAACGCCATGTTAGGTAAAACTGTGTCAGATAAACTGAAGAACTTATGGGAAAAATAGGGTTACATTCATGCAAGCCCCCAAAAAGCCAAACAACTTTTTTTTAGACCAACATATCTTACAAAAATAAAAGTGAATATGTAATTGTAGTTCATTGTTATGATATATTATGTTTTTACTGCTTAAGACTACAAATCCAACAGAAATAATAGGTGCTGGTGTTCGTGGATGTTTGTGAAAAAAGTGGAAATGCATGGTTTGGTCCTACTGGTCTGAAGTGGATGGTAGAGGTTTTGGTACTAAAGTCAGTGGTTGTATTGGAGTATGCATAAATTCTGTAATGGATCTCTGGGCTCTTTTACCCTGCAGTACATTATACAGCTGACAGTAAGGCATCATCAGCTGATCTAGACCCCGTTTCAAAGCACTGCTTCTAGATTTGTCAGGGTCCTCTTCAGTGAAAAAGTCTGCAACTTTACCAGTAATATGGAACTGCTCATGTAACTGCTGCAATGTTAACTGTTTTTCTTCATGTTCTTCATCTTCTATTATGTGGCTCCCTTGTATCTATGCATCGAGCTCTGCCAACATTTCCTCTGGACTCTTGTTTTCATCATCATCATCTTCTAAGAGCTCATTCACATCTTCATTCATATCTTCAAAACCATCACCTGGTAATCTCCTTGCCAGCTGAACAATTTCCTGAACCTGACTCTCAAGCAAGGGAAAAACATTGAAATAATTTACTACAGAAGGCCATAACTTTCCCCAGCCTGCATTTAATGTTGATTACGGCACTCATTCCATGCACTTCTAGCATGGCTGATGGCATCTGCAATGTTAAATTTATTCCACAAACTTCATACTGCCAGGTATGAGTCAGAGTCCATTGGTGCAACTATTTTTTCCATAACTTTTTTTTTTTGTGTAGTTACACTTGGATGACTTAATAACTCCCTGATCTGGTGGTTGTATTAAAGATGTAAAAATACAACTTTTACATGTGGGGTCACATCCAGCAAAGCTTGTGGATGAGTATGGGAATTATCAAGAATGAAGAGAGCCTTGAATGCAAGGTAAAACTTGACTTCAGGAATAAAGTGATGCTTAAACCAGTCAATAAATATTTCCTTTGTCATCCATGCTGACTGGTTTTACCTCCAAATTACTGGTAAGGTGTTTTTATCTACATCTTTCAAAGCATGAGGATTCTTAGAGTGGTAAATAACACTTGAAATCACCTGATGCATTACCACAAAGGAGCAAGGTGAAGCAATCCTTTGCTGCCTTGAAGCCCGGTGCACTTGTCTCATGCTGACTGATATTAGTTCTTCCAAAAAACACTTGGCTCGTCAGCATTAAACACTTGATGTGGCTCATAGCCACCCTCAAAACTAATTTCCTGCAATTCAGCAGGGAAATTACTTGCTGCTGTATGATCAGCTGAAGCACTTTCACCCAAAAACTTGAATATTGTGTAACTTATTATGCAGCTTAAAGTTGTGGAACCAGACTGTGCTAGACACACTTTTTTTGGGCCTTCCTCCCTTATCACAAGTATCCCATGGATGATGCTCCATGTTTTTTCCCCTCCTACAAACCGAGCCGTGTTAAGTTAATTTTACGAAGTGTTGTATAAAATTGTGCCACATTTTTTCAGTAGTGCAGTAATCAAAATGTGCCAAATAAAACTGTGTAATATAACGATCTACTGTACTCTTATAATTATATTTATGTGTACTTTTACACTATATTAGGTTAATATAGACATTTCCATTAATTCATCTGATATTTTTTTTCAAAATTATGTAAACACGCTACATAACATATAAACATAATAAATACACCCCACAGTAGAATAAACTAATATAAATGTTAGATGTGGTAGCCAGGCGACTTGTAGATTTTTAGCGACTTGTAGAAGTGATGGCAAGAATAATGTTTTCTCAAGTCCAACATCAGAGAAAATGTGTACACTATAATATTACTGGGGGTAACTAGAAAATTATTCCTTTCGTATGCCTTCACTCAGAGCGTCATTCTCTACATGAGAATTGAAGTGTTTCTCTTTATTTATTCTACTGTATTAATGTGGAGACAGCTTGTACATAATATAAAGTGTTTGTATTATGGTACAATACAAAATGAATGGAAACCAGACGTGTTCGCCTGGTTTGTTTACATTACGTGTGGGTGAGGTGGGGTGGGCTGCCCTGGCTGGCTACCATACTTCCCAAACCTGACTTCCTACAAATAAAACTCACCTCTCACCCTACATTAAAACTACAAATAATTTAAGGTAATTAATGAATGTACTGTACTATATGTATTTTATCACTCTGGGGCGCTTTAATTAAATGTCGTAGTATATTACGTGGGCGGGGTGGGGTGGCTTGACCTGGCTGGCTACCATGCCTCCCAAACCTGACTTCCTACAAATAAAACTCACCTCTCAACCTACATCAAGACTACAAATATTTTAAGGTAAGTAATGGGTGTACTGTGTGTGTATTTTACCTTTTATTGTTTTTAACGCCTAGTTCCATTGCTAACCTAATATATGTTAGTGTAAACTTGTTATCTGGCATTTATATGCATTTATAAGTTAAAAAAATGGCGTTCTACTTTCCAGCAATGTCTGCTTTCTGGCAGTAGCTTGAAACCTAACCTGCCGTATAAGTGGGGCCCTACTGTATGGGGTTTGCTACTATCTGTGGTTTCAGTATCCATGGTAGGTCCTTGGAACAAATCCCCATGGATACGGGGCTCCTACTGTATATCCTTTGCTTCCTTCCATTTGCATATTATAATAAAAAAGAAGCACTAAACCTACAAGGGTCATACAGCACAGCAGGGCAGGGAAGGATGCAGGGGTATTGGGTAGCAAGAGAGGGATGATTATTAAGGCATGGAGTGCAGCAGGGCAGTGGATAGTGCAGGGGTAGAGGATAGCAGGAGATTGAGGTAGAAAGGGCTGTGAAGAATGCTAGAGTCATCATCATCGGAGTTTTGTGCAGTAAATCAGTTGCTGTCAAAAAGTCAATGAGAGTGGGTTAACCCTTTACCAGGCCTGGGAAAGGGTAATTACCCCTTTACCAGGAGTGGAAATGGGTAATTACCCTTCTCCACACCTGGTAAAGGGTAAGGAGGGTCCATCAGCAAGAAGGAAAGGTAAAGTAAGGGCAGTAGAGCAATGACGACATTGGAGGTAAATTTTGCGTGCTTGTTGATAGAGTGGGCAGTCCAACAGAATGTGGCTAACAGAAACTGGAACCTGACAGTTCTCACAAAGTGGAACAGGGTGGGAAATTAGGTTCAGTCTGAGGAAGGAGATTGAAAGGTCTAATTCCTCAGACCAAGAGCCTCTTCACCATGCCAAAGAGCATCCCCTTGAAGAGGCCATTTGCATAATCATGGGTATAATGAAAGGAAACTAAATATAATGTAAATACAGTACCTTATGTATACTATATATGTACTCTACATCAGTTCAGTTAAACTTTTATTTTGTGAAAATGAATGACTTGTATATTTGGGGTTCACAGGGGCTGTCCATATTAGAAGTTCCTGTCACCAGTGTTTGTATATCCTCTGCTTGTCTTCCTTTTCATAATCAAGGTTAAAATAATGAAAGGAACCCAGATGTAATGTGTATACAGTACCTATTCATTTGTGCGTCAGTTTAGTTGGTACACTTGTATTTTGTGATAAACAAGGGTGTGCAAGGGGTTGTTGGTGGTGGTGTCAAGGGCCACCTCTATTATTTTTATTATTGAGAATACAAGGAAAATGATAAATTTATTTAAATAAAACATTAAAGTATTAGTATGTATTTAATATATTTTTATATTCACAAATGCATTCTGGTAGTTAATTTTCACAGCAGAGATGAATACAACAACCCTTGGGCTGCACAACTTTTAAACTCAATTGTAACAAGAGCATGTGCTGACAACATGAGGGTTCCTTTTGATTTAACCCGTAAACGGTCCAAGCAGATCTACGCTCACATGTGTAGTGCTACAAAAGTAGATCTACGTTTTTTTTACATATTTTCAAATATAACAAAAAAAAATAGTAGATCAAGGTTTTTTACACATTTTCAAATGTAAAAAAACAAAGATCTACTTTTTTTACATACTTTCAAATGTTGAAAAAACGTATATATACGTTTGGACCGTTTACGGGTTAATCATTTTTTTCAATAGCTTGCATTCATATTATGGTGGATATTACTCTGGGCATATCTATGTAATAAAAAATTTGATCTTCTGTCTGGTAATATATGGTATTTTTTACTGATATTTGCAGGCAATTGTGGATGTGGTGGAGGCAAGTGATAGTTGTAGCAGGTAATAGTTGTGGAACTGATTATCATGTGCACAGGTATGGTACAGACACATTTTCATATCAACAAGTAATAACAAATGTAATGAATAGAAAACTATTATTTTTGTGTTTTGCCAAATTACAGAGCTTTAAATAAAATTTTGTTTGATATTTTTGAGAGGGTCTTATAATAATTTTTATTTCTACAAGTACATGTACAACATACAGGAGGGCCCCCACTTTATGGTGATTTGCTTATACAGACATTTCAGATTACAACCAAAAATTTGTTAATACAACTCCAATTCGCTATTATGGTGTCTGCGCACCACTGTTTACATCCTCCACGAGCTCCATATCTGTTGATTATGTCTGGAAACTTTCCAAAATTTTGAGTGTTTTAAAGTTATTGCACGTTCTATATATACAGTGGAACCTCAGTTTTTCATAGGATTTGGTTTTCATAGGATTTGGTTTTCAACTTTTTTCATCTAAATTTTGTCCCAGTTTTAGTACATCCGCTCAATTTTCGTAGAGTTCACAATGGTCCGTACTAAATGCTTCTGCCTGCTCGTGCCCACGCAAAGCATCCCACGCTTTCTGACTCAGTCTGGCATTGTTTCTCATTGAGTGAACATTACCCCACGCGTTCAGAGTGCCAGCTCTTTGATAAAGAAGGCGAGAAACGCTATATAATTCAAGAAAGAACTCGTAGCAAAGTGGAAAGTAGCAAAGTATAAAAGTGACCGGAGCTGAGAAAATTGCTTCAGAGGAGGAGGAAGAGAGAGGGGAGAATGTGCCTTCTTCAGTGATTAAGGACATGTGTGCAAAGTGGAATGAGTTGCAGTTTTGTGGAGAAATATCACCTTAACAAAACTGTTGCAAGCCATGTCTGTAACATGTTCAGTGACAATTCCTTGTCCCATTTTAGGCAAATCTTAAAGAGACGCCAGAAACAGACCTCTCTGGACAGATTTTTTGTGCGACAGGGTGCAGCGACTCTCAAGCTGGTCTTAGTGCCAGTAAATGACAAAGAAGGGAAGTAACCCCAGATAGGGCCTTGATACCTGAAGCCCTTATGGAGGGGGATTCCCTTTCCAAACAATAACCTCTCCTCCTTCCTCTCCCCTGCTCACCGTCTTCGACATGCCAAAAAGAGCCTTCAATAAAGGTAAAAGTGATGTTAAATGTTCATCTATCCATTTCGTTAGTCATTTATATTTATTTGTCATTGTTTTCTGTATTTAAAATTAAGTTATTCTCTAAAAATGTATTTTTTGTTAATATTTTTGGGTGTTTGGAACGGATTAATTGGATTTACGTTATTTCTTATGGGAAATATTGCTTCTGTTTTCGTCTGACTTTCTGGAATGACTTAATAACAAAAACCGAGATTCCACTGTACTCTGATAATTATACTTGTGTGTACCTATACCTAAATAAACTTACTGTGCTGGCATGCATGCAGGTTCACATTAAAATAACTGTCTCACTAGTGTTGAAGACTTAATAATTACTCTGGGCACTTTAAATGTTGTATGTTACATTATTATAAACATTTTCTTTAATCCATCTATATTTTTTCAAAGTTTTATAAATAATCTCTAAACATCATATAAACATAAGTACAACCACAGAATAAAATTGACATAAATAGGTGGTTGCCAGACAGCTTGTAGTTTTGACAGCAAGAATTCCGCTTTCTCTAGCCCATCACCATAGAAGCTGTGAACAGTATTGTATTACTGGGATAACTGTAGAAAAATATTCTTTTTGTATGCCTTCACTCATACTATCATTCCCTCTAAAAATGGTTTGTTGCATGAGAATAGGAGTACTTCTGTTACATGTATATCTGCTGCACCAACATGAAGACAACTTGTGCACAATATAAGGTGTTTGTATTGCGGGGAAAGAACTTCACAGACACATGCATTATGCGAAATGAATGTGTATGAATTGCATTTCTCTGACTGCCCACCACCCGTTCTCTCTGTTTACAATCTCCTTGTTTCTCGAGTTTACAATGGCATCTAAGGGTAGTCGTGATAAAAAGAGGAATCATAAGCCTCTTACTTTAAATGTTAAGTTAGAAATTATTAAACTCGGTGAATGAAGTATGTCGATGGCAAGAAGCATAATGATGATAATCACTCTGGGGCACTTTAAATGTCAAATGATGTTATAGACATTTTCATTAATCCATGTTTAAACTCAAAGTAGTGTGTCAGTGGCAGTAAGCATAATGATAATCTCTCTGGGGAGCTATGATTTTTTTTTAATTATAAAAGAAATACGTTACATATTATATAAAGAAAATACGTATATACAGTCACAGTAAAATACAGGGGGGGGCCCCACTTATATGGCAGGTTAGGTTCCAGGCTGCCACCATAATGCAATTCACCCCTTTATTCACTTTTAAATGCATATACGTAAATGCCTGATTTCATGTTTACACTCAATATATATATTAAGTTAGCAATAGAACTAAGCATAAAAACAATAAAAAAGGAAAATGCACATACAGATCACTCATTACTTTAAAATATTTGTAGTCTTAATTCAGGGTGAGAGGGTAGTAGTATTTATTGTAGGAAGCCAGGTTTGGTAGCCTGCCCAGTTAGCACACCTCACAATTATGTTTATTTATCTTGCTATGATTATATATATTTTCTTTTTGTGTAGCATATTTCTTATATAATTTTGAAAAAAAAATTATGCTTGTTGCCATCGACATACCTTGTTCACTAAGTTTAATAATTTAGTTTAATAATATCTAACGTGGCATTTAAAGTAAGAGGCTTATGATTCCCCTCTTTTTATGACAACTAGCCTTAGGTGCCATCATAAATGAGAGAGATGCAGAGAATATAAACAAACTGAAAGTGAACGGGTGGCAAGCAGTTAGGCGAACAGTTCAAATGCCTTCATTTTGCATAATGCATGCGTTTGTATTGTGGGGAAAAACTTCACAAACACCTTATATTGTGTATAAGTTGGTTTTCACACTGGTGCAGCAAAATAACAGCAACATTTCCATTCTCATGTAGCACACCATTTTAACCCTTTGACTGTCGCAACCCCCAATCCTGAGGTGTCTCCTGTGTCACAAAATTTAAAAAAAAAAATTATTTTTTCTAATGAAATGATAGAGAATCTTTTCCCGATTGTAATGACACCAAAAAAAATTTGATGGAAAACTGACGGAATTATGCTCTCGCGAAGTTAGCGACCTTGGCGCTGTTTACAAATCGGCGATTTCGCCCACTTTGAGCCCTATTTTCGGCTAATTCCATTGTTCCAGTCGCCCAAACTCATAGCTATTTCTTTAGAACTCCAATTTTTCTATCGACTGAGTACAAGAAACTGCCCATTTACCGATTTCAACTACCTAATAATGTGGTCAGAAATTTGCAATTTGGCCAATTTCAAGAAAACTAAAAAATGACAGTTTCAAAATAAAGTCCAGAATGAACAATGCAGACATTCCTGGCTCTAAAATAACATTTTCTTTGATCATCAGTCATGTCTCCAGGCCCCTCTGATATTACTCTTGCTTTCTATTTTGAATTTTTATTCAAACAAAAAATAGAAGACTTACTATTATGCAGACTACTGCAATACTGTAATAATTGTATAAATAACATCAATCCATTCATGACTGCATATTAGAATGGCTAGTTGGACATTTATTGGACAATGGCATCATTTGTTTACTTTTGAACATTGGCAAAAATCAAACATTTCCCCTACTTTGAACTCCATTTCTAGGTTCTTTTTATAGTAAAATCAATCTAAATCACCTCTATTTCTATAATATGTTTCCCATTCTATCAAATGAGACCAAGAAAACGAGAATACAACCATAAATACTATACGAAAATAGACCACAAAGCCGGCATTTTAATTAAAAAAAACGGTCGGAGTTTTTTTTTCTCATTATGCACTGTGTGCTCCAGGATTTTTTTTATATGGTGCACACTGACCACACAGACCCATTCTCTCACATGTGGGCCTACCAGCTTTCTCCTACTTGATTTGAAGCCGCTAGAATTTGAGTATACGTATATACGTCAAACACGGTACCTCGTAAGACGTGGCCGTGACAGTCAAAGGGTTAAAGTGGAATTCTTGCCGTCACTCCAAGCTGCCTGGCAACCACATCTCGTGTCAATTTGTTCTACTATGGTTGCATGTATTATGTTTATATATGTAGCATGTTTCTCACATAATTTTGAAAATATATCATAGATCGATTAATGAAAATATATATTATGTTATATACGACATTTAGTGCCCCAGAATGATTATTATTGCATCACCACCAGCAAGACACTTAGGGATTTTAATGTGTACCTGCATGCCAGCACAGTGTGTAAGCTTATTTAGGTACAGGTATATGTAAGTACAATTATCAGAAAATATATAAAATATATAACTTTAAAACTCAAAATTTTGAAGAGATCTCAGACATAATAGAAATGGAGCTCACCGAGGATGCAAGCAAACAATAGTGCGCAGACGCTGTAATAGCAAATCAGGGAGCAGTACAAGTAAATTTTTTATTGTAATTTGAAATGTCCATATTAACAAATCAGAGTAAAGCGGGGCCCTCCCATATACAGTGTGTATGTGTACAAATAACCAAGGTGTATTGAATGAACACTTATTTCTCAATAATAACCCACATGAAGACAAAATTAGATTCAATTCAAGGCAATTTGGGGATACACAGGTTTAATCCAAGGAAGAAGAGGGTAGCTCCAATTCCTTAGACAAAGAAAGATTATAAGCATAATGAAGCACTAAATCCTTATGGGTCATACAGCACTGCCTTAGACCAAGATAATTATGGGAAAGTGCTAAATCCGTAAGGGCCGTACAGCACCTGGGGAATGGAAAGCAATCAGGTTTGATCTAAGGAAGGGAAGAATAAGTCCAACTCCTTGAATCAAGAGCCCTGACTGGCATCAAGGTATCTCCCTTGAGTGGCCTATCTTCTTAATAATTCTAGGGTAGTGCTAAACGGCTCATGGACAGATGGCCAACAGACATTTCACTGAATGGACGAAACTGCATTCATCACCTAACCTAATTTTCCCGCTCGGTGAAATATCCGTCAGTCATCTGTCTGGGCACGGTGCTAAACCCATGGGGTGTTGTACAGCACCTAGGGAAGGGTAGATAACATGGTTTGATCCAAGGGGAAGATATGTCCTAATGGATCAAGAACTTGCTGACATTGAGGCATTTCCCTCGAGGGGCCTTTAGGGTAGAAAAAACAGCCATTCAATTCAAACAGGTTGGCTCATGGGGGTGTACCATGGGTCAGCACATTGCATTCAAGTCTATATTTGAGGGCTTCCAGACAGTGTTGGCCACACTACCTACAAAGGTCTCTAGCTCTCACCACAATACAATGACTTCCCATGAAGACAACCAGCAAAGTGATGGCCTTATTTTTCAGCCACCTAAGAGGTCTACAATCTCCACACCAGCTAAATGAAGCACGAGAGCGAATTACATTTAACATTATGTTTAGTGGGTGGCATTAAACCCATAGGAGTTGTACACCACCTAGGGAATAGGAGGCAATCAGGTTCAGTCCAAGTCCTTATATCAAGAGCCCCTGACTGGCATCATGGAACCATTCTTGAGGAAAACTTTTATTCATAAAATTGCTAAACCTGTGGGGGTCATTCAGCACTACACAGCAAGGGTAACGTAGATGGAGGGAGGTACGGTTTTGAGAGGACGACATTGTCAAAATAAGGGAGGTCAGTCACTGTAGCAAATAATTATCCATCCAGAACTCGCTGACAGAATTCACATTGAAGGTGGGATACTAATTGTAGTAACAGGAGAGCACTAAAACTGTTGGGGTCATACAGTGCTTCGAGAATGGAAGGCAATCTGGTTTGATTTGAGAAAGGGGAGGGTAACCCCAAATTCCATGGATTAAGATCCATTCAGCATCAAGGCACCTCCCCTTGAATGGTTTTCAGCAGAGGGCAAACAGAAAGGGCATGTCAACAATGAAGGCTGTCTAGATTGAAGGCACTGTGCATCTTGCAGAAAGGGACACTATCACTTTAAATCAGTGGTCCTCAACCTTTCTACACAAGTAGGCCACATTTGTCAACGCTGTAGTGTGGAACCTACATGAAATTGAATTCTTAATTTCATGTGAGGACCACATCCATTTCCTAGAAGGGCCTCAGGCTGGGGACCCCTGCTTTAAACTATCACCTTGACCTGACTTCTCTCAGCAGGCTGCCAGGCACCCAGCCAAAAGCTGACATTTAATAGTATTAACAGTTGTAAATAGTGGACAACCAGTAGTTCATTTGTTTGATGAAAACATCCAGCTTGTTGGTCACTGATGATCAGTGATGCTGCTGTAACTCCCCCAAGACGAGTTAACACAGGAAAATAATTAGGGAATAGCAATTGCCTTCAGGAGATTATACATCAATTACCAACTATGAATCATGAACACTGTTTATAGATGTCAAATTAAGCAATTGCTACCTATCTCTGGTATATCCTACCTCCCCTTAACTGAATTGTCATCTCAGTGTATTGCTTTGAATTACTACCCCCTCATACTAATACTGCTATTACAGAGCTGTGTTAATCAGAGCAATCATTGTATTAATGGTCTTATTTTTATTTATCATCACACTGGCCGATTCCCACCAAGGCAGGGTGGCCTGAAAAAGAAAAACTTTCACCATCATTCACTCCATCACTGTCTTGCCAGAAGGGTGCTTTACACTACAGTTTTTAAACTGCAACATTAACACCCCTCCTTCAGAGTGCAGGCACTGTACTTCCCATCTCCAGGACTCCAGTCCGGCCTGCCGGTTTCCCTGAACCCCTTCATAAATGTTTGCTCACACTCCAACAGCACGTCAAGTATTAAAAACCATTTGTCTCCATTCACTCCTATCAAACACGCTCACGCATGCCTGCTGGAAGTCCAAGCCCCTCGCACACAAAACCTCCTTTACCCCCTCCCTCCAACCTTTCCTAGGCCGACTCCTACCCCACCTTCCTTCCACTACAGACTGATACACTCTTGAAGTCACTCTGTTTCGCTCCATTCTCTCTACATGTCCGAACCACCTCAACAACCCTTCCTCAGCCCTCTGGACAACAGTTTTGGTAATCCCGCAGCTCCTCCTAACTTCCAAACTATGAATTCTCTGCATTATATTCACACCACACATTGCCCTCAGACATGACATCTCCACTGCCTCCAGCCTTCTCCTCGCTGCAACATTCATCACCCATGCTTCACACCCATATAAGAGCGTTGGTAAAACTACACTCATACATTCCCCGCTTTGCCTCCAAGGACAAAGTTCTTTGTTTCCACAGACTCCTAAGTGCACCACTCACCCTTTTCCCCTCATCAATTCTATGATTCACCTCATCTTTCATAGACCCATCTGCTGACACGTTCACTCCCAAATATCTGAATACATTCACCTCCTCCATACTGTCTCCCTCCAATCTGATATCCAATCTTTCATCACCTAATCTTTTTGTTATCCTCATAACCTTACTCTTTCCTGTATTCACTTTTAATTTTCTTCTTTTGCACACCCTACCAAATTCATCCACCAATCTCTGCAACTTCTCTTCAGAATCTCCCAAGAGCACAGTGTCATCAGCAAAGAGCAACTGTGACAACTCCCACTTTGTGTGATTCTTTATCTTTTAACTCCACGCCTCTTGCCAAGACCCTCGCATTTACTTCTCTTACAACCCCTTTCTATAAATATATTAAACAACCACAGTGACATCACACATCCTTGTCTAAGGCCTACTTTTACTGGGAAATAATTTCCCTCTTTCCTACATACTCTAACTTGAGCCTCACTATCCTCGTAAAAACTCTTCACTTCTTTCAGTAACCTACCTCCTACACCATACACCTGCAACATCTGCCACATTGCCCCCTATCCACCCTGTCATATGCCTTTTCCAAATCCATAAATGCCACAAAGACCTCTTTAGCCTTATCTAAATACCTGGTCCACACACCCCCTACCTTTCCTAAAGCCTCCTTGTTCATCTGCTG